AGCAAGATTAGAGAGGCATCAGAGGATAATGGAGCGAGCGGTACACATACCTTACTGTTGTTTATTTAGCTGTTTGATTTTTAGATTGCTTGAAGGGCTTATTATCTTCTTTTCTGTTCGATAGGCAAAAGCACTTGCAGAGAAGAATGGGCGTGATCTTCTTGCTCAGAAAGAGCAAGATGAGAGAAATGTAATATTTCTTACAAAAAAAATTGAAGTTATCATTCCAGGTTCACTGAATGTCTTTTTAACTTATTATTAATTTATAATTTCAGAGACTAGCAGAATCTCTCGATGCTGACATTAAGAGATGGGCGGCTGGAAAGGAGAGGAACTTACGTGCACTGCTTTCGACTCTGCAATATGTATGCATTGGCTCCCCATCTATTTCACCAATCCAGTCTTCTGCTTTATTTTGCCATTGAGTTATTTTGTCTGAAACTGAGAGAGAGAGAAATGAAAAATAAGAATCTGAATTAGATTAGCCACCCATATTTGGCATTAACTTAGCGCTTGTTTGATGAAACTTTTGCTAAAATTTTATCTTTTCAACTCGTCAAATTTCAATTTAACAACACATTTCATGTGACTTAAAACTTTTATCAACTTTTCAACCACACATTTCATCATCTCTTAATTGTCATCTGCAGATCCTTGGGCCAGACAGTGGTTGGCAACCAATTTCCTTAACTGAGATCATCACAACTCCCGCCGTGAAGAAAGCTTACAGAAAGGCAACCCTTTATGTACATCCTGACAAATTGCAGCAAAAAGGAGCTAGCATTCAACAAAAATACATATGTGAAAAGGTTTTTGATCTTCTCAAGGTATGCTCTCTCTTCTCTTCAAATATAAAATAGATTTGCTGTTTCGCGGTACTAGGGACGTCGATATTATATCTTGAGAATTTAATAATACCTTACTGTCATCGTAAGAAAACTTTTTTTCCATCAGTAATGACTACAGCTCCTAGAAGATAGCCTTTGAAGTCGACTTAGTTTGTACCTGAAATGCAAAATGTTGCATTAAAGTGAAGTCCTGTGGTTTTGGTCGAAATGGCATAAATGCATATTCCTCTTGGTGACTCTTGTCAGTCTTGTGCTACGTTTTGTGTTTATTTCGTGCTTGATGGTGCACTCACCTGCACTCTTGTTCTTTTAACCTCAGGCAGCGTGGAACAGATTCGACTCAGAGGAGAGGTGAATAACATGCCATGCGGGAAATAGCAATGGTGAAGATGCTGTGATTGCATTTAGTACCTTGTTTTCTTAGAGAGAAGGGGATTTTCTCTACGTTATTTTCATGCTGTAGATACAGTTGACCAAACTGAAAATTTATCAGTAGGTAATTGCTTATTTTCGGGATAGAATGATGTAGGGCCTGTGACATGTTCATTAAAGAATTTAATTATAGTTCAAATGGTTCGCTTTCCTTACTTCCCATGGAAGAGGATGAGCCCCTATTTGACACCCATTTTAATCCAATTCCCATTCTCATTTTTTTTTCTTTTTCTTCATTTCAACCACACATTCTCCAAATAAAATAATATTACACACAAATTTAAAATTTTTCATCACTTTTTTATCACATTCTCTCATCAATCACTATTCCAAAAATATGATATGTTTCTTCACATCAAGCTTCAACTGTTAGGAGCTTAGATGTAAAAATGCATTTTTAATTATTATGTGTGTATTAAATAAATAAAACATTGCATACCAAACAACTAAAATTATAAATATTATAATTACTAAATATTCCAACAATTAGATAGTTTTGAAGGTTTTAAAACTAGATAATTGAATAATGAAAACACAACCCTTCTTGGGATAAAATGAGCTCAAGAAATCTTCACATTAATTTAGTGTTTACTGTTTAGGCCCACATTAGTTATTAGGATCAAGAAATGGCTCTTTAAATTTTTTTTTTTAAAAAAAATTAAGAAAAAGGATGTGGTCAAAAGAATTGAGCCCTTTTTCCAAACTACGTCTGTAAGATAGGCCTTTTGAAAATGTCTTATGTTTGGACGAAATCTTCACACCCTTTAAAACAATTTGAGCTCATCTCTAATTAAGAATTTCGACATCTCACTGAGTTGCTTTAGACAGAGACAAGTATAGTCCTTCCATGGCCAAATTTCTAAGATTTTGTTATCTCCCAAGGTCGAATTTCTAGCATGAAACACCCTTAAAATTGAATAGGTTGATCAGTCATTTTATTTTTTCGTTGAATTACTTGAACTCTGCATCTTCGATCACAACATTCAACTAAACTAAAATCCATCCGCCTTAACCAAACTACAATCCACCTACCCCCACCTTTTCGACGACCACTAATCTACACGTCGCACTGCAATCGCCACCAACGTCACCGAAAGCAGCCCACGTCGCCGCCCCACTGACACACCCAACCAAACCAAAAACCACAACGACTAGCCACCACCTTCGTCACTACACAACTCCATCATTTTCAAGAATTTGAGCAAAACAGCAAAATGAATAAAAAATAAAACACACTTCGCTACCAAGATAACAGAGGTCACCAAAAACTATCAATGCGGTGTCGTGAAATGTCGATCTTCCTAGCTGACCGTCACCATATCTGGCTACATCATATGCTTCGTTCCAAGTATTTTTGATTGGGTAATTATATTCGCATTGTAATTTTTATTTCTTGCATCATATTTTAGTTAGATTTAAAGTTCTCAATTTTTGCTTATTATAGTATTTATGTCCCTAAAGTTTTTTTGTGACATTTTTATCCTCAATTTTTCATTTAAAACATCTTGTACCTGATAACAATTTATATCAAAAAGTCCGTTGAAATGACATAAAATGACTTACTTCTCATTATATTTTTAAAAAATAAATAAATACAAAAGTGCAATAATTTTTTTTTTCTCATTTTAAAGCATTAAAATAAAATATTTTGACAGAAAATATCATTATGGACAGGATGTACTAATTAAGGAGAAGTTAAAAATAAGAATACGATTAAAAAAGTTAGGGATATAAAAGTTACAAAGAACAAAGATTGAAGAATGTGCAATAAAAATATGGTGCAACAAACAAAAATTATAATGACAATATAACCACCATTTTCAATATCGTAATTTACCTTAAAAATCCATGAACGATTAAACCAAACCCGTTACTCCACAATTGAAAAAAGAAACACACACACACACAACTGCAAAACTCACATCCGCCTTGCCCGACTCGATTAGGCTAGAAATGTATGGATCTTGGCTTGAATGGGTTTGATCATGATTATACAAATCTCACACGAGGAATTGCTGGTTTTGGGAAATTTGAATATGGATCAAAAAAGATCCAAACAGGAGTTGCAAAAATGGAATGGTTGACTGGAGCCACTGTCGACTTATTCATGATATTGGAGGCTCTGGGTAAGTGTGTGGCCGTCGTCGACGGGCCGGAGTGGGTGATTTTTGGCTTGGTTGGGTATATGGTGGCGGGTGCGGAAAAATATGAATATTTACCTAATTCCTTCATGCTATGTGTACGTAGCATGGTACATAGGTGTGAACACAACGTGAGAGAGGTGTGGCTGTGCTATACACATAGCGCGGCCCACACTCCTTTTTTTTTTGTTTTGTTTAATTATTTCTTTAGAGAAATATTAAAATCACAAATTACAATTTTGTACTTTTAAAATTAATCAATATGTGTCAAATTGAAACCTATCCGCACGCTTGAATACAAATTGTTCACATGAAATGGTGACAACACAGATTCATCTGTTCTGCACTTGCAATCAGATCTTGTTCAGAGAATCAAAAGCTACCCGTGAAATCTGAAGCCATAATCTTCAGAGCAGTCTTAATCTTCTGGATAACACAATTGAAATATATATATTTTTTGAGAATTGCGGCACATACAGAAAAAAATTCCACAGAATTGCAACAGAATACTCACACGTCGGTGGGGCCCGCACATTTTTTTTTCTTTTTAAATACATGGTGGGACCCCCGTTTGTCTCTATTCTATTGCATTTCCGCCGATTTTTATGTACAAATTGATTTCTCCATATTTTTTCTCAACCTTACAATTCACAATTTAAAAAATTTTCATTAACTAAAGGCCTTACGTTTCTACGATGTTACATCCTATGTAGGATGATTTTGATAATCCGAATTGACCGCAAAATCCTTTATGTCCATTAATATTTATTTATGATAAGGAGTATTTCAATTTTATGTCAAAATATATGATTGAAAATGTAATTTGTTAGGATCGAACTTCAACTATCTCATTGGACAAACAATTGGTATTCAACGAGGGTAGGTTAAACTTTTTATGACATTTGATCATAATTTTTAATAACTCAATTCGCGGACTTAAGAGCGAGATAATTACGCCCAACAAGATTAGTCCTTTAAGGGAACAGTTTCAAATTTGGATTATACTGCTTGTACATAAGAACGGTACATCTGAAATTGCATAAAATCATGTGAAGGAAAACGATTGAATGAAAAAGTCGATTGTATCGCCGTGATCCAAGGAAAATGTTGGAACTTTATTTTGAGTCAATCATGTTAATCCAACTTTTTGCATACTAATTCTAAGATGCTATCAATATTTCCTCAACCTTACAAAGTGGGTTAGGTTAAAAGTCTGAAATCAATTTGATTTTGACTTCACTTGTACAAATTATTAACCGGCGTTATCGATATAATTAATATCCTATTCTATATTGCAAAAGGGGTATTAATTAGGATCTATAAGAGGTAATATGCATTAATTATTTACCATACTGTAGGGAATCATATATTCAGATTCTCAAGAAATTACATTTATTTTCTGAATTTCAAACCTAGAGTTTAATTTTTATTTTCTCCAACCATAGTCATATGAATGTTGCATTAGTACTGTCATAAACATGCATGAAACATGGCCATACCCTGGAGTTTTTATATAGAACCCCACCCCCACTAATATTTGTTCACTGTGTAAGTTGTTACATCCGATCAGCATTTAAAGATGAAGAATTGGGGTATTTTCTTCTTGGTCATTTTCTTGGTCCATGAACAGGACTTTCCTGTCCAAGTTGGAGCAGAAGATGGATTTCTCAGAAGAGAAGGAGTGAATTTCATATTAAATGGCAGCCCATTTTATGCCAATGGATTTAATGCCTACTGGATGATGTATATAGCCTCAGATCCTACTCAGAGAAATAAAATCTCTTCTGCATTTCAAGAAGCAGCAAATCATGGCCTTACAATTGCAAGAACTTGGGCTTTTAGAGATTCTGGAGATTCACCTTTACAATACTCTCCTGGCTCATATAATGAACAAATGTTTCAGGTTTCTTGTAATTTTTTCTGATTTTATTTTTCTTGGGTTTTTAAAATTACTTTCTTACTTTGATTTTTTGATACTACTATTTTACACAGGGATTGGATTTTGTGATTTTTGAAGCTAGGAAATATGGGATAAAGCTGATATTGAGCTTAGTGAACAATTATGAGGACTATGGAGGGAAAAAACAGTATGTGAACTGGGCAAGAAATCAGGGACAGAGCATAGCATCTGATGATGATTTCTTTACAAACTCAGTGGTGAAGGAATACTATAAAAACCATATTAAAGTAAGATTACTCTCACGTGAAAGCACACATTTAGTTGTTATACTTGCAGTTCTTCTTTGATTTTTGTGTTTGTGAGAGTGGTGAAGGATCTAGTAATAGAAACAGACTCGTGTAAAGTGCTTACGAAAAAAATGCTTAGCATGTTTGGGTGTGCTTACAAGCACTTTTTTTGATGCAGCATCACTGTACATGCTGCCAAGAGAGAAGCTTTTAAGCACACTCAAATACGTTCTTAGTTTACTCGAATTAATTGACAATATTTAAGGATTCTTGCTTGACAGATTACAAGTATTTGATATATATTTTTTGATCTTCATTAATACTAGGCTGTGCTCACGAGACATAACAGTATCACGGGAACTCCATACAAGGATGACCCCACAGTAATGGCTTGGGAGCTTATGAATGAGCCAAGATGCACCTCAGATGCCTCGGGAAGGACCATACAGGTTTGCATTAATCTTTTCTTGAATGTTAACTGTGATTTGTCGCTGTAATTACATGACCTGCTTCCCCAAACCAATAATTTAATAAGCCATTCTTCCAAAAAAAAAAAAATGCCAATTTAAGTCGGGAAGATGCTAAAGGTAGTATGGGTGATTGAGTAAGGTCATAATGAGATAGCCGTAAGTATGGTTAGTTTGACTCGGCTTCTGCTTCTTGTAGAAGAGCTTCTTAAGCAAGCTACCTTAAATCAACTTATTTTTAAAGTTCATCGAAATGAAGCACTTTAAGCCTCCGTTTATTTTTTATTTTTCATCTATAAAAATGAAAACTATGACCATTATCCATCACATTAAGCCATCAATTTTAAATTTCTATCTCTTGTGTGGGGCGAATAACGACTATATTTTTCATTCTTATTCTACAATAATAAGAATCAAACGGGCCCTAAAAGAATTATCTAAACGGATCTAAAAGAAGCTTCTTAGTCTTATATGTAACTTTTGACTATTCAAGAGCCTTGATAAATGGGCCTAAATGTGCATTTAGATCACCATACTTCCAAGCACCTCAGCTTGTTGGGTGATCTCACTTGACTGGCAAAGAGAAAAGCTCCCAACTAGCGGAACCCCAACTGAGCATACCATTGTTATATTCTGAGTTACTCGACACATTTCTTGACTTAAAGTAGTCCTGGACGGTATAGTTTTTCTTGCTGGAGCTTGTTTGGGAGGGATTAAAATCAGATTAAAATTGAAAATATAGTCGTTAGAGTTGACTTTTATTAGACGAATGAGACCCAATAACAGCTATATTTTGAATTTTAATCCTTCCCAAACAAGCTCTTAATATTGTGCCTCTAATCCTCCATACAAGCTTGCCAATAATGGGTTTCTCAACAGGCATGGATTTCAGAGATGGCTTCCTACTTGAAATCTATAGACAGTAATCACCTATTAGAAGCTGGACTCGAAGGGTTTTATGGAAAATCAGATTCACACAAACAGCAAAACAATCCAAATTTTGAAGTAGGAACAGATTTCATAGCAAACAACCAGATTGTTGGCATAGATTTTGCAACTGTTCACTCATATCCAGATCAATGGTGAGTATCCATATAAACTTACCTGTCTCTGAATGCAGCAGAAATTTGAGATTTCCTGTTTTATACGTAATGTATAAATTTCAGGTTAACCAGCCGAAATGATGAAGACCAAATCTCATTTTTGAACAATTGGCTACAGAGTCATATCCAAGATGCACAAAACATTATCCAAAAGCCACTTCTTTTTGCTGAGTTTGGAAAATCATCAAGAGATCCTTCTTATAATACATATCAGAGAGACCTGCTGTTCAATACAGTATATAAAGCAATATATTCATCGGCTGGAGGGGGAGGCGTGGCAGCTGGCGGCTTATTTTGGCAACTTCTAACAGAAGGAATGGACAACTTCAGGGATGGCTATGAGATAATCTTTAACGAAAGCCCATCAACGGCCAGCCTGATCGCAGAGGAATCACAGAAGTTGAACAAGATACGGAAGATGTATACGAGGTTAAGAAACATCGAGAAGTGGAAGAAAGCAAAGAGTAGAACTGGTGGAAATTAGTAAAATTGAAATGAGCGGCAAAGCAGAAAATATTATACTAAAGTCCTAAAAATCTCAGGAAACACCCTTGACGTAACACATTCGTGATCGTTCCTAGTAAATTTGGAGTCGGCTAACATATATCATTTACCGCATGTTGTTTTATCTAAAGAACTACATGGGAGCTATCGTATCTATCCATTTATCTTGTGATAGAATAAATTCTTAGTGCCTACACGAGTTTGAAGAGCAATTGACAAGTATTGGAATAGAGTAACAAATAAACTTACATGCAATAATGCATCTTTTCTGTCAACTGTACGATTTCTTCATGGAAAATCACAAATGAAACTAGTTAACAATCAGCTATTTCATAGACGTTACGCTTGAGCCAATGATAATCACAGGAAAAAATTAGTAATAAATAATGTTTTAAATCTAAACGCCAAGTTGCAGCTCGATCGCGAACACATTTTGTTTTGTCACCATCATCATGTTTGGATGACATTGGACTAATGTTGGGTTAGATCCCGGCCCATTTATTCTGCTCCCAGCATTTTGGCTGAAAGCGTGTTTGCAAATGACGCTTCTCTTAATTGTGAAGCACCTTCACTTGGATTGATGACACGTGGCTCTCTTGTGGCTGTTGGATGCTTGGACTGTTGATAAACTCCGGGCTCTCGATTTTTTGGCTTCAGTTGATTCAATGTGATTATCCAGAGACTTCTAGGGTTTCTGCCTTTTGAGAGAGAAAGAGTGAGGGTTTGATTATTGATAGTTGATATCACTCTAAATCTCTGATTTAGAGTATATTGTAATAGTTAGATCTATCTTCGATTATAATATTTTGTGTGAATATTGAGAGGCTGTGAGTGATTCCTCTGTTGTAATACCGTGTGCATGTTCGAAGGTGTTTTTGGTGTTTTCTAAGTGAATCGTGGGCTATCATCTGATGTACTTTGAGATATATGTCTCATATTTCTTTCTTGAACTCTCTGTAATCTTTGTTGCCATTTTGTGGCTGATTTAGTGCATCTGAGCATATTCCATTTTATGGATGCTCAACGGGGGATGTAGGTGTTTGAAGCGGTCACCGAACCTCCGGGGCTACGGCCAAAAACAATTCCTTGTGTTATCATTTTAATGTACTTTGAGAGATAAGTTTCATATCTCTTTCTTGAAATCTCTGTAACCTTTGTTGCCTTTTTGTGGCTGATTTAGTGCATCTGAACATAATCCCGTTTATGGATGCTCAACGGGGAATGTAAGTGTTGGAAGCGGTCATTGAACCTAGGCTATGGCCAAAACAATTCTCGTGTTCATTCTTTAATGGGAAAATTAGATCAAATACCCCCCAAAATGAGAATTTTGAATAGTACTCTAAAACCAATTAAAATATCTAATCACATATTAAATACGTTCAAAATCTTACCACCCCAAATCAAAACCTTCGATTCCAGAAAACTCCCAAACCATTCACAGCAAAACTTTTCAACTCTCTACTCCCAAACTGCTTCGATACTTCAAAAGAAACTTCCGGGTGGTGGCATGAGCAAGACCAAGCCCGTTTCCCTCCTTCGTCAAGTATATGATGCAAGCTACTGTTGATTCCATGAGAATTACGCCCTGAACTCATTGAGAAAGCTATCAGTTCACTTTGCATATGTGTACTTATTGTTTTTATGTCTAGAGATTTTTTTTTTATTTTTTATATTTTGGGTCTTCTTTTGCCTTTCTTCAAAGTGACCTTCTCTGTGATCAAAGTGGAATAGGAAAGTTTTTTGGGGTGGGTATGTGTACCCCAGTTGGATAGGATTGTAATTTTTAGAGTATATTGTTTATGCTTTGTGGATTTTTTGTTTAAGTGCTTCTGAATCTGAAAAAAAGTTCCGAATTTTGAAGTTCATATAACTTCTAGATTAATATGATATTTCTTTCTTTTTTGGGTATTTTTTTATAGAGAAAATATTGGGTTTATCTTAATGGTTTGATGTAAACAAATTTTAGTTTCCCTTCTAATTTTGGCGTTAATTGAACGGTAATAAAAAATTCTATCTTTTGATTTCTTTACGGAATTTTATGCTATTTTGAGAACTTTACATGAAGATATACTTCAGTGATGGACAATAGGAATGTATGTGGGTTGTGTAAAGATAGTTGATTAGTACTATATTGGATCAAATAACAATATTTAGGTTTGCATAGTAACTGATTATGTCGTTTTTATGGAATTCTTTTTAGTTTAATTCTGATTCTTGGCATTTAAATTGATGTAGGTTGCATGTGTGGAAAATGTTATTCGGATTGGTTGTGGTGGTAGGACTTGAGGTGGCTGATTGGTTGGGTTGGAATTTGGTACAGCTGTAGGTGGTTGATTATGTTAAGAACGTGATTACTAGTGCCGCACAAATGAATATTGTTATAAACCATTTTTTTATCATTGTATGTTATAACTCAATTATTGCATAATTGTTTAGAAGATAAGTTTGTGGGATTTATCTTCTTTTGGAACTGAAAGTTGTGGGTTATGATTGTTTGTAAAATTTTATGAGAAGAAAAGTTGTGAATGAATGGTTCGTCACTTTTTCGATTAGTGTTTTGTCA